TGAAAAAGGAAAGAGGATCCAAAGGAGCCTCACTGCTGTTAATAAACAATGTGCTTAAGCCACAAAGAGCCCCTGAGGTACACTCGACTCACACACTGGTTCTATAATCATCATTCCATTAAAAATCAATCACTTCAGGGAAATTAAAGCAGTCGGGAAGAAATCTTGTGACCTACTTAGCTGGGGTCTTGTGACAGACTTGTTAGTTTATGGTGATTCTAATCATTCCCTTCAGTTGACCCGTCACCTGCTTCATGTTTTTGAAACTAGTCAGGGCTGTGCTAGCAATACATCAGCAACAGCAGCAACTTTACTGATATTTGTGGACATGCGCCACTCTATTGTTTGCGTTTTGCTTGCAGCAGTGGAGTAGTGCAGTTACTATATCAGAACAGTTCTTAGGTGTGTGGACCTGATTGAAGTGCAGGCTTGCATAACGTCCTCAGCAACAAAAGACATGTGGTGTCTGATGACGGAACAAAACACTCTCACTCTGGATGGCCAGCAGTGGTAACCAAACGGTACCAAGCAATATCACATAATTTAACTAATAAGCTGCTTCTCCACAAGTTTCAAAAATAAAATGCAGACAGGATACAATTTTATCCACTGAGAGTAATGCCCTCAAACTGCCTCTAAAAATGTGCATGTTGTCACATTTATACTGCATCTAAAAATGTCAATAGTGTTTGCTCCGGCAAAAATAGTAGCATAAATGCAGTGGACTTACCACTTAGGTTTAAAAAGGCATCTTGTCGTTTAAGTAGACTTCAAAAAGTTATCAAGATTGTGAAATAAGAGATTAATATTGCAATGACATTTCCCTTGTTTACAGAAAAATATACGCCACACCCTCTCTTCCCAACAAAGTCCCTATGTCCAGATGGAGGCTCCTGTTCCAACGGCGTTGACCGTAGGACAGCGTTTGTCAGGAGACGCTGAGGCAGGAGGATGTGACGACTTAAGCCATTCTGTCAATTTGGGTTCTGGCCAGTCAAAGTATGGTACAGTATGTGCATGTCACTGGTAACCCCATGTTGACATCAAGCTATATACAGCACTGTAGTTTAAGTGTTCCTCCTTCAGGCCCATGTGCTGGAGTGTGACTGGTGTGAGGTTACTGTGTGCACGGCTCTTATCTGCATGTGAGCTAAATAAAATGTTCAAAGCTTATGTAAGAGCATTAGTTGACTGGGAGGACTGGGTGCCCAATCATGCGTAGCAGAATGACATGGGCCTGGCTAGGCTACTTAGAGCTAGTATTGATTTAGGCTGATTACACAGAGGACTAGCGGAGCACCTCAGAGCTGTATATCTAGGTGGAATCAACACATGTCACTGTATATTTTCCCAGCACAAGAAAGCTCAGGCAGCTCCCTTTGGTACAACCTGCTCAGCAAGAAGCTGAAGCATGAAAGTCATTGCCTATTGGAGAAAGATAAATGTCCTTTCCAAGCATAATGTGCTTCTTTGATTAAAGATACTCTCCTGCATGTACAAAACATCACAAGTCAATGAGAGACCGTCAATGTATTACAAAGCAAAAGTGGCGTTTTCTGATGACAAAAACCAAATAAGGATTATTGAGCAGATAACATTATCTTATATTTGTCCTGCTGTTGTGACCAAAAACCAATACTTGCCAGCAGCTAGAAAAAGTGTTATCATATCTGGAACATGTATTGATTTGTCACACAAATTCTGTAAACATATTTGCAGTCAATAGTCCTTCTAATTCCACTCAGTCCGATTGGAAAACAATAATAAAAATACTTCCATAAAAAGGATAACTTAAACGATTATTAAAAATAACTAATAAAAGACTGACTGTCATGTTCCAGCATTATGGATATAATACAAGCACAATAATGCAGTATGTGGCTGGTAGGGGCAGGAGGGGCACAGCCAAAGGAAAAGCAAACCACACTTTTAAACAATACAAAAAAAGAGAGGAACAAATGTAAGCAGTTTGCAAGTGCAGCACAGAGCTGTTTATGTTTCTGTGCTGTGGATAAGATCATAGACAGTGAAGAGCTGAGAGTGCACATGACGAGACAGGTGTCTTCAGGACCACAGCCCCCTCTACTCCCTGCGACAGTGAAAGCGAGCGTGCTGATCCCCCTCTAACACAGGACGTCTCAGGCCAGCTGTAATCTGGCACAGCACAGGCTTTAGTGCAATACGAGTGGGGGTGGTGGACTAGTGTTCCAACTCCTACATCAAGGACTGAAGGCTGCAACCAGAAAGCGTGACTAAAAAAACAAAACAGCAGTGTGTCCAGTGTGACTCGATGTGAGCTCATATCTGCATTTTGTTGAAGAGGCAGAGAAAAGAGTGCAGCGTGGATAAAAGAGCAACCGCAACCACACTTCTCCCATGGTGTCACAACGTCTCTGCTGTTCGTCTTTACTCATTTGATTTGTTCATGAACTCATTATTTCTTTAGACAGCTCCACACAAATACCAACACAAACAAAACTGAAGAACACACTTAATTTTGTAATCTAATCGACTATGTTAAGATGTTGTGTTGCATTCAGCTCTTCCAAAAAGCACTATACAGACTGGAAAAGACGACAGTTGAACCACATGGCCCGACTGCATGGTGCTTATTAGGGCCAACTGCAATCTGTTGCCTCGACACACGCATACAGTAACAAACACCTTTCTGACTCAGAGCACGGCTGGTGGAAAAAACAAGGCGCTTAGATGACTCTGGTCCAGCCCATGATGAGTCTGTCCGGATCTACAACAATATTTTAATGTGGGAATGCCATTTGTATTGACACTGAACGGCATAATGTTTGTGAGAAGCACTATGGAGACATTTGAAGGGACAAACTTAAACAATATCATTCTACGTTATTACATGCCCCACGTCTACCTCCGTCTACATAAAGAACATGTCCCAACTTGTTTGAGTCCCAATACAGAGTCCACTGTGCTGACCTTGCTGTTGTCCAGCAACTCGGTCAACAGCTTCTCTTTCAGTTTTCTGCAGTCCCCTTTGCGTATAGTGGAGGTAGCCAAGCAGAAGAAAGTCTAAGGCACCACCACCACATGACAAGAGCTGTACAGTATGTTCCAAATAACAATAGCACTCTACTCGCTGTCAATCACCACGGAGTACACTATTGGCAATGGTTTATCAGAGAACAAAAGCTGATGAGAATTGAACTTGACAACATTACAATTTATAACTACAGAAGATCACACTGACTTCTCTTTGGGCCATGGTGACTTTGAGTAATATTAAAGACATTATTTGGCTCAGAAACAGAAGGAAATAGTGCTTAAAACAATGCAGATGGATAAAAGCCTAAAAGTGATGAGCAATTTGGACAGCAGCTATCAATTATTTCAGAACTCAAGTAATGTGGTACTATTTACCTTAACACTACTTCCACAAAAACATCTTTAAACAAGATTGTGTAATTCATAGTTAAATAGTTAATAGTAATTAATTCAATGTATTAACTGCTCAATTTACAGACTCCAACATAAAAACAAAAAAATATCTATTAGAACATCATCCAGCTCCTTCACAAATATTTTCTTGATTGAATATCAGAAAACATGTAATATTTTGGCCTGGCGCGGGAAGTTTATGTCGCCAGTCATCAGCCAATGCCTGTTTTTCTAATTTGAGCAAATATGGAATATGGAACAAAAGCAAAAAACAGCTCTGGCGCCTGAGAGAAGGGTTTATATTTTTAAAAGCATCAGACATATGAAGTTGAAAGCCAATAAAGAGAGATAACTTTACTTTGAAACAACAATAACTAAGTAGTAAAAAGCGGTCACTAGTTTTCCATGTATTTCTGGCCTCACATTTTCCGATGAGCGTTTTCAGAGACAGAGGACTCACATATGTAACAGAGAACAACATGTTTTCTAAAAAGATAAAGACAGCATGTCATGGTCCGATCATGAAACAAAAAGTTACATACTCCAGCTTAAAGACTAAACAAATTCCAAGTCACAATGTTTTCTTTAGTTTTGTCAGATATCCCTACATACTTGGTGGCTTATATTTATTGTTCCTTCTGTTTAACAGTAACGAGGCCGGATGACATGTTAAAGTAGTAAGTGTCAAATACATATTCAGGATCATTTTCAACAATGATTGTTTTAGACGGCCCCACATTGATGCAGCAATATAGCATTTAATAGGAATATTCTTTTGAATATGGAATGTGTGGAATGTGTCCTTACAGAACTTTAGGAAGGGTTAATTGTCTGAACCCCATGATGGTGCCCTGGTAAACAGGGATAAGAAACAGAAGTATTCCACAGGGAAATGTCGGTGCACAGAGGTCATGTTACACCAGTTACTTGCACAGTCAGCAATCTCTTGATTTAACAATCAGCAAAACAGAGTCTAGTATGTTAATCTCATCATGGCAAAGATCAGTGTCATGATCTTTGCCATCAATCAACAGTCAGTGGACGAGGACAGCACACAATCAATAAGCAAATGATTTCTTTGGCTTACACAACCAAACTACTGCCAACACAAAGGACTAGACTGGCAGTATTAGTTAAAGGCACTGGCAGCCATGCTCACCTGGCACAAACAAACCACAACTTGCAGATCCACAGTATGATCTGCAGAAACAAACTAGGGTGTTCCTGCTTGCTTCATTTGCTTTTGCTGCAGATACAGTACAGATGTAAACAGTCTGCAGAGCTTCAACTGTTGAGTGGGTGTGAGGAAATGTTGCCGTAATATGGTGAGGCCTAACAAACCCCAGGGAGAAGTGTCAACAGACAGGATTTTATACAAAGCTCAACATTAACACGGGGTCATGGTGCGTGTCCTGATTTACCTGGGTCAAGTTTTGTTATTCACATAACCAGTGACCAGCTGTTACATAAGGAAGTGGCCTAATTCCTTATTTGGAGGAAACGGGCACGGGTCCTCCGGGATGTAGATTTACAGCTAAATTACACGTAGGGTTTGCAGACAGAATGACTACATAATAACAAGTGGTACATACCTCTGTCGGACTTCATGTTGTCCAGTGTCATCAGGTTGCCTTCCAGTGTCTGCTTCGCTCGCTCTGTTTCTGTTGCACTACAGCAATGTCTCAACCCAAACCCCACAATGTCACCGACTGGCCGAATTAACTACGCAATAAAATCAGCTGGAAGCACGTCTGGGTGCCAGCTCTCCCTATCCAACAACAAAGCATTGCTTTGTTAGCATGCTACAGTACGCGTCCATCCAGTCGCATTGTATTGTTCACCAGTACCAGCAAACAGCTGATGGCGAATGCCAGCGATCCAACAGCAAGCAGTCGATTAGATTGCTAACAAGTAATCAGTCTGACAAGATGTAATTCACACGGTCTTCTCTCGCTGTCTGTCTTAAATTCCTCCACCTGAACCATCGCTTCGCAGCACATTTCTGTGTGTTCTCCGCCAGTGTCGGGCTCAGAAGGGTTTAGCTCACAATGTTAGCCCCGATCCAAACACACGGGCTAACTCACTAAACTGACCTTTCTATGCAGTAATGCTTCAGTGTCTGTAGACACTGCTAACATCCCTGCCCCCACAGTGCAGGTATCCACGGTACCACGGAACCACGACCAACATCGATACCGATGACCCGCTACCAGATCATTATCACCACTTTCTTATACATTTATCATCCGCTTTCGGTCCAAAACAATACTGAGACTATTGCCATGTACTTTACACAGGAAATACTCCCCAAACTGACTTCCTTGAGGTGTTCATTAAAAGTTTTACCAATAACAAACAGCACGACTGCGCAAACGGCAGCAGAGCGAGGCGCAGACACTTCCTACTTATATCAGTTTTGACGGTGAAATGCCAGTAGTTATAAGACTGATCAATACTCAGCGAAGCCCAGATGAAGAGAGCGTCTCCGTGTCGTGATGCTCCTCACTCCAGTCTCCACTGATTGTGTCAAAACATGAGCCCAGCTCCAGTCACGTGTCCCAACAACAGCCCACACGTCACTTCCCTCTCGACCAGCCTCACGTGAACTCACAGCCATAACAAACTAACTTTAAAATGATGTTATGACTCTTTTCAAACACGTGGAGTTGGTGTCTTTAAGATAGATCATGAATCTTGGCTCGACCCGTGTGCGTGTGGGCCGCGCATGGATCAGGCTGGAGGAGAAACACAAGGGGGAGTCCCTTTGAGCTGATTGGTCCGTCAGTGCGCGTGCATGCATGCACGTGAATTACGTTCATGAACATTGTGTTCTCGGTTAAATCTGTATATGTTCGTATTAGAATATTAAGCTCTTTGAATAAATGACCAGGCTCAAAAAGACATCCGTTCTTTCAAAATGCAATGTTCATACTCGATCTTAACTCCTTCAATCTCTGTATCTTTCTATGTAAAACTGCTTTATTTTTTTAAAATATGGGTCCTTTTCTGTGAATTTGGAACCAGAGGTTCGAAATCTCACGATTTTGTAAACTTTAAAATCCCTCGGTGTTGTTGACATGTAAAGGGATAACTTCATATATATACTTGGCTATGTTAAACAATAAAAAAATAAACACTTGGCGAGGATAGTGGACTGAACGTGATATGTCACGGGTTGACCTATTGACCTATGCTCCCAGCGTGCCACATGGAATTGCATTATAACAATTTGCAAATAGTAATCTGCTCGAGTTGGTAAGAAAAGCTACACACAATTTACGATTATCTGTTTTACTCAAACTCACATAAAATCAACATCATATTTTAACTTGTTTTATGCAAAGACTCTCTGATAGCCTTTATCTGCTTTTTGATCTGCCCGGGCCGTCCCTATTGTCAGATATATGATTCACTTTTGGTTCTCAAAAATAACACAGATCTCAGACCAAAAATGTGAAATTGCACTTCGATTGCATGTATGTGACGTTCCAGCACCTGTTCTGCAGCGCCATCTGCTGGCGTGACTACTGCAATACATTGTGCACGAAAAATCCAAAGTGAGTGGTCGTAAAGGCAGTGCATGTCATTAAAGACAAGTCAACGTGCTATAAAAGTAAGAAAGTAAATAAGAGTAATAATGTATGCAGAACAGAATGGTTCACTTTTTCAGTTATGTTTGAGAACATTTGTGAAAAGACGTTTTTTAGGGTTTTCCACAGAATTTTAATTGGATTTAGATGGGTCATTTCAACACATGGATGTGTTTTCTTTAATACCATTTCAACAAATGAAGAGGCTTTATGTTTAGGGAAATACCTCCACCCTAGCCTTGTCATTTGCAGACTCAGCTCTTCCAAGATTGTCTTTTTTCTGCATTTACAATTTAAAAATACATTGAGACAGCCATATCAAACACTAAACAAACACTATTATATACACAAAACATACTAAATTACATAATGAATGGAACAAATCCATACAATAAAAATCAAGGTCAGCCTTCAAAGTGCTTTGTTCTGACAACTGCTTGTAGGGATAACAAAATAATCATAGCATGGAGAGAGAATTATGTCACCTCCCAGAGGGAAGAAGCTGTAACACGCTTTTTCCAGGGTGGTGATGATGATGATTTGAAGAGCTAATATATGAATCCTACCATTTGACACTGGGGATTGAGCAGTGAAGGTGATTGCTTTCGCGTCAAAACATCATCCGACTATTTGAGGTGTGCATTGAGATATATCCTGATATAATACAATTGTTCATCTCAAGGGCCCATTCCTCTTACTGACAATAGTAAAATAAACTGTGAATAAATTGTTAAAATTGCTTTAGATGACTAAAGAAATAACTTTTATTAGTGCAACACAATATATTTCTGGGTTATAGATCATGATAAATGGAAGATTATTTTGAATAGCCCTACTGAGAGAAGCCTCTTCTTGCAGCTTTACAAATCCCCTCCATGAGTCATGGATGTCGGCAGCTCCTCCAGAGATACCATTGGCCTCTTGTCTGTATCTGTGATCAGGGCTGTCCTTGTTTTAGCTGCTTTCATACTTCCATTTCCCAAAGAATGTATAACCCGACAATGTTTAAACTTCTCTCCAGCTTCATCCCTGATCAAAACGATGGGTGAGATTCTCTTTGCTCTATGGTCCAACCATCATGCTGCGTGATTGGCTGACAACACAATTCTGTTGTGATTGACCTTGCTTGTTCTTACTACAGAAACACACTGTGAAACCCTATAGCGAATTTCCACGGGTCAAAAAGGCTTTGGAGCTTGGTTACAAAAACAGCTTTTGACTCAACCCTAAGGTACACAGGCATGTTAAAGCTGAGGGGATTTTTAAAGTTTGTGCAACTGGCTGTTGAAGCCGCACAGATTTAGCATGGTAACTTGTGGGTCAACAATATCAGCAGTTCAAAACCTGCGTAATCACTGCACAATTTGTGAACCTTGGCGCTTTTCACCCCCAGTTTTCCTGAGTGATGGGCCACCCACAGCAGCTTGAGTGAGAGTCTGTTAGTTTGAGTGAAGAGAATAAGCCACACTCTTTCCATCTCTATAATACAGTCTCTGGTCTCCTCCTCCTGCTGCTGTTCTGAAAGGGCTGGAGATGCCTTTGTTAAACTGGACTCCACAGGAAATGGTTATGACCAATGTAAAAGTCGTTTTGATTGTTCCTTACAGCATGTTTTTATTGTTTAATTTATGATAAGATTTTTTGTTTCATTTAAGATAAGATATTTTGTTCCATTTAAGATATTCAAAGAATTGAATGCTCTTGGCACAGTTTCTAGTTCAGCCTCGTGGTGGTGTTGCTTTCAACATAAGCTTAGTTATTTAAAATTTCAGTTTATTATTTTGCCATGGTAGGTTTGTTAACAGACCTTCTAGAAAGGTTTAACCTCTAAAATGTATTATTTTTTATAAAGATGAGATGCAGATCAGATATAAATGCCTGTGGACTTTGACTGGCCCTCTGTTTGGGACACTGTACTGTGTTTCTCTATGTATCCAGAACACCAATCCAGGTAACTATTTGCACTTTTTACTCAGGCCTTGACGTCCTGTTGACTTTTCAACATGAAATGGAAGCCAGACCCGATCTGCACTTTGTGCCTTTATGACTCGGTTGGGACCTACTTTCCATTGGTCTGAGAGTGTTGATGGATGGCTCATTTTTGTGAGATGTAAGCGATACTCTGCCAGTGCTTCAATAATGCCGGGTACCTGTTCTCCCTGGTACTTTCTGAATTACTTTTTGTAGCTCAGACTAAACAAGGCACAACAGAGGGTTCTCCTGACAGGGCTAAGCAACACCAAAAAGATGATTGCTACAAGGTGGAAGCCCCCTCAGCTGCTGTCTCACAGACAATGGATATTGACTTTGTTGGCATTACATCACTGTCCACATTACACTACCAAGCAGAGTACCACCAGCGTGTCTATTACGTCAATATGTGTTATTTTGTTTGTTCACATTTTTTAACTTTTTTGTCAATACATTTTTTATTCATTTTTTGAAATGAGTGTTTCAAGTACTGAAAGTTCTACTAATAGTATAGCATAAGCAAAGGCCAGATTTAGACAGGCTTTATATCAGTACTCCTCTCATCTATAAGTTATGACTTTGATCTTTTTGAATAATTCAACATGGCCTTGCATCTCAGCACCTCATTACTGTTAACCTTTTCAACAACATCCGCTTTTTAGATCTTCCAGGAATGTTACAGTCACTTAGAACAAAAGGGATTGTGCATTGTGTCCATGTCACACACACATGTGATTACTGTGCACCACTTGTTTACATTCTGTACTTTCTTCTTAGGAATATTGCACATTCACCAACTATATCACGCTTCTAACATAAATGCATATTTTTGTTTGTTTGATTTCATGTTTTATTGATTCAATTTACTTGTCAATCAAAGTAGGAAGGAAATAACAAAAGGCACACAAGTAAAAATACTAGAAGACAGTTGTTGAAAGCTGGAAATACCAACTGTTTATTTCTAATTTTGCGACTACAGAAATGTTGAAACATTAGAACACTGAAAAAAGCTGGATGACATCATCACTCGCTTCTCAATTTTCTTTCTTTTTTCATTTGCTTAGCAATCACAACAGATGATATTGCACGGCACTGAGAAAGCAGTAGCAAAAACTGGGAAAGAGCAATGACAAATCAAGTCATGAGACATGTGGTTATACATCTGAGTTACCCTCAGACACACGGACTCGCACTCATACCAGACATAAAAGCAATGCAGTTGAGAGGGTACAAAAACAAAGAGATCAAGGTTAACGGAGCACAAGAGCAATGGGATTTTATTTTTCTGAATGCAAGTGCAAGATGAACTACCAGTGAATTCTAGTACTATATGTCTATGACAACAAATATGCTTGTATATCAAAACCCTTCAAGCATTTTGTATATGAACCGCTGGAGCTCACCCCTCTTTGGGTGACAATCTAAATTCCCCAGCATTAAATCCAGATGATTGTCTTCGGCGCCGCAGTATTATTTTCAGACTTGTAGGCAAGCTATACCCATCATAATGGGAATTTAAAATCAACAGCTTTGTGTGTTGTAACAGTGAATATATAGGCTCATATTGCTGACTCTATCCTGTTGTGAATAAGCCTATAAATCACTAATGTAGCAGGTATGACTGAGGGTACTGTGCTGTTGGAATATGACATCAGAGGGGGTCTACAATGTTTCACAATTCACCCATAAAACACACATACATACAAATTTATTACTTTGACTCTCCAGGAATATTTAAAAATAAATAATTAGATTGAAATAGTCAATATAAAATAAACAGCAGACTCAAAAAGTGCAGTCTAGGGCCAGTCGCGTTGTGCCACTAGATGATCTTATGAGCGTTTGTAGAACAGTAAATAGCAATTGACACTTTGGGAATGTATCTTTTCACAGACTAGTGCCATCTTGAGTTGAGAATTACATTGTTCCAATACAAAATACATGTATACTTAAGAAATACAAATACATAATAGCACACATTCTCACATGGATGTACATTATTTGACAGTTTCTTTATTGCAGACACAGCGATTCCATCATAAAGGTGTGTCTACAGTTTTATTAGACTTTGCTCATAGTCATTACATGAGTATGTACCAAAAGAACAGATACAAGGTGGAGGAAGGCGGTGGGGCCAAGGCAGTAAAAACAGACCCAGGTGCATGACCCCACCCCCGGCAGACCTGCTGCCCAGCCTCCACTCCACCTCACTCAGTGCATGAGACAGCAAAGTTAGTGGGACTTGTAGCCCTCGATTTGAAGGTTTCCGATTGTACATTGACCAGGAGATTCCCCACATGGTAGAGTAAGCTTGTCTACATAGCCCTACGCCTTCTACATTCTATACCCGTGCGAATGGCAAATCAAAACTCAACAAGTCTAAATCACAAATGTCAGTGCTTTTCAACATTATACATATTTTTTTCCAATTTTTTGGTTTGTTTTAAAAATCTTTGGATGTGCAGTAATACCCATAAAAGAACAGATTTTTAAAAAGTCAAAAGAATAGAAAACACACACACATACATACACTGCTTTTTGCCAGTGGTTCAACAAAGTAGCTCCTGTATGACTTTGCTGGCACTGGCAAATCAACTTTGAGTTTCTGGCAGTGTTTGAACACATATTAAAATGCCTGCTAGGACTCAGCTGAGAAATACAAACTACTCTTTTGTCATATCTAAGCGTGGGAAATAAGGCTGTAACGTAAATTGTCTTTTTTGTTTTTCTTTTTTCAAAAACCTACTATATACAAATCTAGAATTTCTACAAATGCATAAATTAAAGCAGTGGTTAAACAATACAAAAATGCAATTAAATAAAAATCACAACACAGAAGTAGAGAAAAGGGAAAATATGAACACAATATCACAGCAGTTGGTTTTACCCTGTAAAAGCAATAGTCTACATCATAATATTGGCAAAACCCAATGTCTGATAAAAAATGCGCTTCTCCCTCCATGCCTTAAGTTTCATACATCAACCCTGAAACTTGTCCGCCGTGACTCTGAACAGAGCGAATCTGCCATAAACAAAAACTAGAAATAAGATCATTATTTTTGAAATAACAAAAACAGTAAGCATACAACAGGAGTTCTGCCTCACGCGCCGAGCCGACTCAATGCAGAACTCAAAGGATTTATTACTATGAGGTATTCCGAGACATTGGTAAAGACATGCACGGCCAGAGTGCTGGGCCTTCTACACACAGCAAAGACAAGGGAGGGTTAACAGGAAGAGGAGGGAGACAGAAAGAAACTAAGACCTTTGGTTTTATCTGTAGCAGTGGACAACACAAACGCCGCTGTATGTTTTAATCTGTAGAAGTGGACAACACAAACTCCTTTGGTATGTTTTTCATTGCATGGTTGCGCTGGCGAAAGCACCACGGTGTGATTAAAAAAAAAGACTTTTCTTTGTTTCTTCAATAGTGGCCCTTCTACAGGCTGAGGTATTTACAGAGTCAAGGTGAGAGGTCAACAGCGGTTTAACACTTTGGTTCAAGCAAGGCACTCGTCCTGGAGTTTTAGAAAGATTGCAACACATCTGCTTCTACTTTCAGGAACATGTCTGCCTATAGTTGATTCTGCCCATGGATGTGATGCTCATTGGTCTATTGTTGTGTGAGGATGTTTGATCTACTAGCTGAATCAGTAACATCGGATTCAAGATACACACTCAAAGGCAAGTGGAAATAAAGCTATACATGATAGATGGTGGAATGATTTTCAACTTTGGTATTGACAGATTGACCCTTACAGCAGTGAGAAAAATCCAACCATAATCTGAGCCACATGAAACTGTTGTGTGCGTATCTGAAGCTAAATCAACAATGGAGCTGTAATCAGAGCACATATGAAGCGGGAGAACGCATAGTGTTTGTGTGAGTGAGGTGGGGCTCGGGAGAAGAGGAGAACAGGGGGAAAAAGGGGAACATACAACAACATACTATTTTGTTAAACACCACTCGTGGAGGCCGTGCAATGGGAAAAAATCTTTGGTAATCTTTGGTATCATCAAAGTGATAGAAATTATGTATGGACTTTTGAGTGAGGTAGCATCTTTGGTTCACACTATAAAACATCAGCAGGTCTTGACAAATTTTTGTATATAATCTTTTTTGGTTTCAGAGATGATGAAGAGGATGATGATGAAGAAGCAGCAGCTCATTTTCTCTCTATGGCCTCCTCTTGCTTTCAGCACTTGTATTAATGATAAATGCAGAGCTGCTAACCCTGGCCAGGAGGAGGATGATGGCAAAGGGGCCAAGCTAATATATTATCTAATGCTACTCCGCGCCCTGTTTTGTCTTTGTGTGTGTAGTGCTTTCCTCCTAGTGCTGAAATGCATAGCTTTACCGACTGAGTGCGGGAATGTCCAGGATAGTAAGCGATGATGGGAGGGGCATGGTGGGAGAATGCTTTTGTATTCAAGTGATCAACTGACATTGCTCTGTAAGTGCCAGAAAATGATTTTATCATTGACATCATTCCCTCCAACCAACATGTTTGATGAGCAGATAAAAATCGGATACATATAAAGCGCAGGGGGCACAGTGACGCTCCAAAAGCACATTACTAAATCAGGTTGCTCTATGTCCCAGTAATAAATTAAACAAAAATCTCCTTATGTTTTCATCTTTGGGTCAAGAATAATTTACAAAAAATAGAAAAATCATGGCTGACAATAATAAGAGTAAAGCTTTAAACGACTGATTATGCATCTTCACAATAAGCAATCACAGTAACATTCATAAGACTGATTGTGAAGATACAACCGTTTTCATTGATTCAAGAAGGCATTTATAAGGCAATGATTCTTTGGAACATATTAGAGTTAAAGCTATAGATGGTGAATAGATGAGTGGAAACAGTTTAGACATAACAGTCTATTTAGAGGTAAATGAAGTGAAACACTTTCAAGATTATCAACTACAAAATATACTCTTTGGTCAGATTACATTCTTGCGTAAGTAAATCTTTTGTATTCTGTAAGTAGAGAAAGCTTTGGTTTGACTTTTGTGTGATTTAACGTTTCAGCAGGTTGGAAGAAAGCACTACTATAGTCAATTCTTTGGGGTTAGCACTCTACAGTACTTTGGGGATATTCTTTGTTAGTCTGCAATGTGTTGATAGTATGCTAGACAGTTGGGCAGACAACCAGCCAGAGAGACAGACAGTCCACTGACCAAAAATGTTGCACAACTATCTTAAGGCTCTTGTGGGATTTGTTTTCTTTGGAGTTGATTGGCCAATCCCACTGAGCTCCACATTCTGGCCATTTTCTGCAGCTTGTGGACAGCTGCAGATCAAATTGCCAATTGGCTGACTAAACCTCATTTAGGGACCCATCATTAAAACCAACCATTTAGATTAAAGATAAGGATGGTGATGTCAGACGGATTCTTGGAAAGTGTAGTAAAGCTAAAGACCAGTGATAGTAAGTGTGTGTAAAAGGGGTAAAACTATAGTCTTTTTGCAGTATGTATACACAGAAATGTGTTTCTGTAACAAACATTTCAAAGCAGGTCAACAAGAAGTCTTTGGTTTGTTTTTTCATCTTTGGATACTATAAATATCAATATAGTACAGGTTTAAGGGCAAAATGTTGCTTCAAGGTCTCTTTAAGTTTCTCTTTGTTTCACTCAAGTTTTAAAGCTTTTCCACCGAGGTTGAGTCTGTCCATGAGTTGGTCAAGTCAGTCTGTCTTCAGGCTTTGGTGCAGGCATTTGGGCCCGTGTTGGGTGGGTGACCGGAACCGTCGTCCACCCACTTGTCCAGGCTGCGGCGGCGAGCATTCATGAAGAAGTTACTAACTGTAGCCAACTCCAGGCCCAGCTGCTGCGCGATGGTCAGTTGCAGCTCTTTGGACGGGCGCTTGTTCTCCTTGAAGATGGCATGAAGAGTCCTCCGCTGCACGTCTGTGAACACCAGCCGAGGCTTCTTAGAAGCATTCCCCCGATCGTTCCGCCCGTGGTCCTGTTCTTTGCGCTTGCAGGCTGTTGACAGATCAAACAGAAGGTTATTATGATAAAGTACCAAAAGACAAAAAAACAACAACAATGTTAATCCTTATTTAGAGATGTATAATAACTGGGGATATTATACTGCCATTTTACATTTTGAACACAGACTCCTGTTGACTAGAAACTTGCTTTTACAAATGTCACTGTTACTAATGTTTTGTCATTTGATCCAACATGTAATTAATACTTTATGCACGTAACATGAGAATTGTGTAAGTATAATGTAATACAAATTACAAATACATTACATAAACAAAAATGTCTAATGACATTTATGACAATATGCACAGACATTCAAGATTTATCAAAATTGGGCCAATCATTCTCAAAGCTAAACACACACAAACAAACTAAAACAATACCCATTTTCTGCTCCCTCTTCTATCATTCGCTCTACTGGCCTCAGTAATGTCTTGGTGAGCTGGAAAGTGCATGGAGGAAGTCCACCATACACAATCAGCCAGGGATGCTGCAACACGCACGGCCCAGGGAGCCTGTAAACCATGTGCGCTGTCCATGGTGCTGAAGTCTATGTGCTGTTGTGATCACACAAAACAGACTTCTCATCTGATATTGGAATGATTTGGTCAAATGATCATTTGACAGCTAATAACAACATTCTTTACCGGATTGTAAATTTTTTTGCAAGCCCTCCTTGCCTCCCCATATCCCAATCAAATCCATAAGGCTCTGAAGCGCGATAGACCAGGAGGGGGCAGAATTGGGCTACTGAATATTGTCAAACGGCCTTCTAGGGGAAAATCTTAAAGTGTAGAAATGAACTATAGAGTCAATGCCCCAGAACTTTAGGTCTACATTGTATCGCATATATTATTACGAGTACATTAAACCCATAGACTGACGTCAAATAGACGGATGATCGTGGAACTAACATAAGCACATATGAGGAACAAGGCGCACAACACAGGAGTAAACACGTGGGGAATGTTTAAGTTGATACTAATAACCACAAGAGCTTGATTTAAACTGAAATGGCAAACATGGCTGAACACAAAACCGATATAACATAATGACCCTGCTTTGACGCACATAATTTAAGCGCCCCCTGAACGGGCCTGCAGCAGGTCAGTGTAGGGCAGCTCGCTGTCTCCAATGCTGGTAAATATTAACAGAGTGCCACTGCATAGACAGCCAGTCATAAATCAGTACAAGTGAAGGCCACAGCAGACACTAGACATGAGCTGCTGTTGGAGAAGAGCCGAGCACACTGGGCAAGACAAGCGGGCCACACAGCCCTGAATCAGGTCATGGGCTGGTAAAACAGTGTACCTCGTTATCACACAAACACACACAAAGCTGCAGCTCCCGGCTAATCATTACAGCCTCAGATAACTCCACAGTCACATGGATATGTAAGGTCTGGGCCTGAGCTGACATTGTGGTGATAGAGCTGCGTTCTCACAGGGAACAGCAAACAGACCTCTGTAAAGCTGCAAATATTCAACTGGACCCTCGACCCATTACTTCATTCACTAGGTTAGAGGTGATATTGAAATTAATAAGCCCAATATGTTAATAGATAAGGGGTTTCGTTTATCTGAAAAGCACAATAGGATATCAGTAGTTTCTGTTCCAAGCAGTTATATTTCTTTTTCATTCGTTCTGGAACACCCGGAAAAAGACCCAGATCAATGCCAAAAGCTCAGAAGTATTTAACATGTATACGTCAGAACCCGATTCCATAGATCACCTAAACAGTCTTGTTCCACACAAACGTATACAATTTCATTTAATCGTAATTATTGCTTTTTCTTTTTCTTTGTAAAATTCTTAAATTATTATGTATTATAAAAATATTGCTATATATACACACACGCATACACTATTATTTAGCATGTAAAACATATAGGCCTATTTGAAAACTGAATAAAAATCAATAGTGATTAGACACTGGCAGGCACGCTCACTGACGCACTTTCAACAACCGCGTAAAGACGAGGCCCTCACTTTTAAATAAAGTCAAAAAGCCCATTTGTAGGTCATCGATTACACAACAGAAATCTATGGGGTGCTGCACGTGAACTTTGCACACTATAGACTGGGGCCTCCTCACGCACATTAATTGACTCGTGTAGACTAATGAATAACGGCCTCTGTATCTGCTAATTAAAGCTGTTCTGGCTGACACAATAACACATGTGTGAACAGTAAAACAGTCTATATTGATGAAATGCAACAATATAAATACAATAATAATGTGGTTTCTACAAATGTAAATGTTTTGTTTCTCCCACACATTTTCACAATAAATGCAGGACACAATTTACTGTTCCACAACAACAACAACAATAACAGAAAGGTCTGATCAGTTGCCTGTGTACCAAAATAAACACATTCTTAACGATTTCTGGGCAAAGGATCCGTTTACGTACACAATCCAGCGGTCGATACTTTGAGGTAAAATGACATGGGCGCACTTGTTTCTCACAAGCCCCAAATCTGTGTAAAGACAGAGAGGCGTCTTGTGGCTATCGATACTCACACTGACTTGGGACTAAACTCTTTTCAGATTTGTCATGGGATTAGTAATTACTCTGCTGATGGAATTAATTCTTCAACACACAAACAAACCGCTGTTCGAATCAGTGGCAATTCAACAAAATTTGACCCCATTTTACATTGGTCATCTATGAATCTCACAGCAACTTAGACTGCTACAGACAAACTGTTGACTAACTTTGTGTTATTGTTACAGCAGCCTATTTCGCCACATGTTTTAACAAACACTATATGCCTAGCCCAAAGGAAAACATCGGTCCCCAATGTTAGAGTGTAAAAATGATTGTTTAAGAGGGGGAGTTATTTAGTATAATTAAGATTATTGCTTGGATTGGTTAACGTAAATTTCAACATTTAGGACCCATGTTCCTCTGGGCTCATGACAGTGACAACATTATGATGAAAAAAGCAAAAAAGGGGGCATTACCGAGGCTTCGCTCACCTGCGAGCCTGAGTGCGCTCATGCGTTGGAACTCAGGCTCCTGCAGCCACTTCCACATACGGCGAAAGGTCTCTCTGCCGGACTTGAGCTTGGACCAGGGTTTAGGGTTCCTTAGCAGATCGGACAGCGTCCCCTGGGACCGGCACAGAACCCTCTGCGCAAAGATGGCCTGAGGGATACTGTAGCGCTTGAGCTCTGTGGTGATCCTTTGCGCCACCTCTTTGGTATTTACTTCTTCCATCTGCCCTCCAGAAACAGCCCCCCCTCCCGCTACTGCACCTCCAGTGCCAACCCCTCCAGGCTGTCCGGGCCCAGAGGCCTGTTCTCTGCCCCCCAGCCCCTGCGCGTGGCCCTGTGCCGCGCTGAGGTGCGCGTGTGGATGGTGATGCAGACCGTTGATCTGGACCATGCCCGATGAGCTCATGTGCTGCTCCGCGTGGCGACCCAACATGGCTGGATGATGCGCCTCAAAACCACTGGGAGTAAGCATCTTCTCCCCGGGCATGGCGGCTCCAGGGTGTGCGTATGGAGGGATGCCAGCTTGGGACGTGTGTATGCTGGCGAGACCGGAGCCGGACAGCGGAGAGAGGCTCTGGCCCATGCAGGGGTCCTTGTGATGATAGGCGGGGTACAGGCTGTTCATAGGAGCCAGACTACGGTCCTCGCGCATTAGCGTGAAGCTGCCACTGACGTTACCGGGGATCCGCTGATGCGGATGCGCGTGTGGATGGTGCGGATGATGGTGGTGGTGGTGGTGATGATGATGTGGAGGAAACTTGTCCGACACGGTGGATATGGGGGGTAAGGGCTGTAGCGGGGTGAGGGTGGTGTAAGTGCTGCTGGAGCTCATGCCAGGGGGGGCTTCACACATGCTGATGGCCGAGTGCAGGTGCCCGGGATGTCCGGGATGATAGTCGCCGCTGTCCAGAAGGGTCGCCATTCCCATCGCGCGGTGGCTCAAACCTCTGGGGCTGGGACGGGAATGCGGGCTGTGGCCGCTCAACAGATCTCCGTGGCTAGCTAGAGATTCATGACTCAATCCGTGTAGTTCTATATTCTCCATCGACAACTGTGCATTCATGATCCGGGCAGCCCTGTGGACCAACCATCTATGTGACGTACCGCAGTTAGCTGCTGCCCAGAACGTCCACTTAACTTATTGTCTTTGTTGCTTTTCGCTCTCGCAGCAGGTTGATCCTCTGGTGCCTTTATTGTATGCTTTCGCTATGTTCCGTCCTTGGATGTAAATAAAGAAATGCGAAGTCCAAATCTTGTTTTTGTTCAGGGTTTGCCCCAGATTTTTCTTTCTATGATTTAAGCCCCCCCATCTCCAGGCAGCTGTCCTTGCGCTCCGGTCGGGTGCCGCGCCATCTCTAGTAGTGTGTCTCCAACCCCTGTTCACCGCGGCACAGATCAATGGTTGCGCATGCGCAGTACTCATCCCAAGCTCGCTTTCTTTCTCCCATATACACGCCCATCCTTGTGACGCAACATACTGATTAAGGACGGTATCAAAGGGCTTGTTATTCACATCATCCATATTTTCACATGTGAAAAAATATAATAATAACATATATGCATATTAGTCTGTGAGAGAAACACCTTGATTGATTTATAGTGCTGATGTCGGCACTTTTATCTGGTACATGGTATTATAGTCGACATTTGTAAAGGCTAAATGTTTAGAGCATATCCAATGCATATCTTTGGTCCTCCTTAAACTATAGAACTGAGAATCAATAGCTTATACTTCCGTGTTTTGGAGTCAACTCAATGGGTTTGTCACAACGACAATTAGCCTTACAAAACATCCATACTTTTACAAAACACCCTAAGAGAAACCCTCAGAATTGAATTATTTGTTAGCCTACATTTCTTTTTCGGTAAAGACCTAGTGGATCAGATGCGTCGCACCCCCACTGTGGCGGTTTAACCAAACCGAGAAGTATAGCCTACCTTTTCTTTTGATAGAAATGATGAGCAGATGTGTCTATTGTTCAGCCATTAGGCCTAACGAACCACGCGCAGCAACAGGCTGTGTGGTGTGAGGGGCACACACGTGTCCTATTTGGAGTGAATCATGAAATACAATTGACATTTAAGATAACATATTTATTTATTGTTTAATTAGATACATTAAACAAGTCAAATTCAGAACATTTATAATTTTAATTTTAAACAAATACAATTTCAACAATTATATATATATATATTATACACACTTGAAGACTTGAGAAAACGGTATGACAATAACACGTGGGCCAATAAAATAAGTATGAACGTCTGTCCTGACAAGTGTTTCCAGAGTGGCCAAAGCGCAGGTCAGGGGCCGTTTATCATAAAGCAGTGGCATAGGGCGTCCTCCTCCCGGCCACAGTGACAGCTTGCAGCGGTCAGTGTCCTGCTGGACCCCCGCTGAATGGGGGACATGTCAAAGGTGACGCTTCAAGACTCCCAAAGCCAACATCTGCGGGGGTACAGATTAACCTTTCAGACTTTTCCCTGTCCTGGACCTGCTATGGGGCCCTGCATCTGTCAGGGCCCTCACAATAAAAGCAGCACTCGCTTGAACGAGTTAAATAAAAGAAGGAGAAAAAACGAGAAGAAGTTAAACTGTCTCTGATGTGAAGTCAATGTCAACGGCGTGTGTGTGACGTGTGTCGAGACAATGGGGCATTAATTCCTCCAAATGTGACTACCCAACCGTGCAGTTCAATGCACATAATGGACTTAGAAGGACGGGGCTACTACCTAAAACATACCTAAAAACATCAGTTAGTTTCCATTCTAATACTTTTACATTCAGAGGCACACATGGATTTGATCAGCTCAAGTATTACTAACAGTAAAAAAGTGGTATTTAATAAACTTTTTCTGTTTAAATTGTTGTAATTATTATTATCATTATTGTTATTAGTAGAATAAGTATTATTATTATTTACAGCCTGTTCGGTTTTGGGATTCTGCTGCGTAGCTCAGGGAGCTGTAAGCAGAGGTCTAGAGGCCATGCTCTGGCCTCACATGGCAGCAGAGCTCATCTACACATTCTCATACGGATCGATACTCTGCTGCCATGTCACCACGACCCGAGATGTGTGTTTATGTGCTGCCTCTGTGGCTATTGTGCCGAGAATAGGCACGGTCTACGCTGACATTTTCTTAACGCACATGAGCGCACATTTCATACAGAATCCATTCAAATTAGGATCAAGCTAAAATGAAAGAAGTTTGTGTCACATTTAGGGTTTATTCATAATTAAATATGAAATGTGTATAGGTCTACATACTGCAGAAGTTAAATCCGCAGTGGACACATGAGGGGACCATGGCACAGTTAGTGGTAATAATAAAAAAAACTTGATTGCGAAGCCTTTCCTCCACACTCAGAGCCGCGAGGATCAATATTTCTGCAGCTCTACAATATGTTGCGAACGTTGCTGATGTTTATAAAATATATTTCTATGTGTTACATGGTGAGAGAATCATTTTAAATGTACGTAAATGCAGATAATGCTCAATAATTGGAGGCGAGAGGCGGTAGGAAGTTCTGGGAAAGTGAAAAATCCTTTTGGATATAATTTAGTCCATATTTTATTTACAACTGTTGTTAACTTTAAACTGCGGTAAAACCCACGGTGCAAATGTGATTATCACTGACCCGCGTGTTAAAATAAGAGAAGGCAAATGAAGCCTGGCTGTTCTGCAGCAGCTCCAAAGAACAGTGTAGGCGGATGGCCTTTGGAGCCTATGGGCCCTGAATACACACACCGTGCGCAATCAATACTGAATAAAATTATAATTCCAGGAGGAACTCGGGCTAAAGCCTTTGATTTGATAGAATAAACAAAGATAAAAATACACCTAGCGATTGTGGCCTTTTTAACGCATACACACTATTACTATTATTCTAGTTCTAATATAAATGTTGTTTTAATATATACGCACTTGTATATCCTTGAGTATACGTGTGGTTTATAACGCTTTTACTTATTGAAACACTATTAAAATTCAATTTTTAAGGCATACATGAAACACGTGGATTTAATTAATCTTTACCTTGTTAGAGGGAGAAGCGCAGAATTAAGAGCTAAACACAGCTCATCTCATTTTAATCCACTAAATCCTCTCACATCCTTGAACTGTTTAACCAGTGCTGCCTTCCGTATCAAAGGCGCGCACTTGGACAATAACTTGTCTTCATGTGAGTGAGGAATGTCGCTGCATTATGCGCTGATTAAAAACATGCCATCATGTGCCGCATAACAGACGCGCCTGCTGCCTGGTTCTGGGCTGAATCAACTGCCCGCACCCGTGCATTATTCCGCGTCACTTGGTCGGATTCGCGCACTCAAGAGCAGTTAATAAGGCATCACTTTACATGAACACGTCCATATGCCGCACAATTACGCCACTAACTTTGACAGTGATGACATAATGCTTGTCACCTGCAGCCAGGAATCTTCATTGGAAAAAATATAGTCACTTATGTTCTTCTCATTCAGAATAGTGTGTGTCTGACCACTATGCTTCATGCGATGGAAAAACAAGTATGATACAGGTGAGTTTTGTTTAAAAGAAAAAGAAAAAAGAATCTAAAACATAGCATTAGGCCTAAAGCTCACAGAGTCGTATTTCCAATGTAAATGTGCACGTTTAATAATCTATTCAAATGGGATATTAACGTATTTTATCGATTGAAAATAATTGTTAGAGAACGATAGCGTTTGAATCATATAGTTACTACACACTTATATATTCTCTTACTATTACTTAGATTATATGCATAATTTCACTGAATGAAAACAAATGTACACATAATACAATTATTGTTGATCTACAAATCGTTATGATAGAAAAGAGGAATATGCGTAATTATCTAGTTTCACTTCAGTATATTCACATTACAAATGTCCTTCTCTGAGTTCCAATCAGTTGCGAAGGATCCTGAACAAATGCTAACTGTTAAAACACGTCTCGTCATGATGAGCCATATCCACGTTGCACATGGGCTGATAACACACACATATATGTGTCAATTTTTTTGTGTCACAATAAGATGTTTTTAGTCCAAGTATCAACAGGACACGACATGTCTGTGCTCAAACTCTTGCCACACACACACACACTCACACACGCACAGAAACACACACAGACTGGGTTTACCGCAAGATCTGTCACGCGCCTTTAACAGGTCACTCCCACAGCTGCAAACCAGCGACGGACACAGAACTCAACCATCAACATCCATCAGCTTCATAACTCCAACATGTGAAATATAAAGCAGAACGCGCGCTCCTCGGTGCGTCTGTCTCTCCCCTGCGCGTCTCTGCGTCTCCTCCATTCCACGATGTGCACGCAGCAGTCCAGCCTCACATCTCGCTCGTGTTTCCAAATCCTCCGCGCTTCATGTTTTAGTTCCATTTTCCTCCATTTCCATGCTTTTAAAGCGGTGCTGTCGCGCCCATGCCCTCCGTGCTTCTCTTCGTTTCTCAAATGCAGCAGGATTTGAATAGCAAGGCGCTGTTGTTATGGATCCGTGCGCGCTGAAAGAGAATCAGTATGCAAATTGTTTCAGTATCAATCGAAAGGTTCGATCCGCGCGAGCGTCATCCCCTTTGGCACGGGAGGCTCCACCACCGCATAAATGTTTATAATGATCCCATATATTAGCCAACACACATCTGAGGAAACACTTAGGAAACTCTGGAGTTAAAAAAAGAAAAATTAAGCACTATTATGGAGACAGAAAGGAACAAATATGTAAAACTAAAACGACAAAAAAGAATAAAACACCAACAACAAATTATAATCTCATCATTCATATTATGTATACTATTATGATAATATTAATAATTGATTGATAATAATAACGAAAAGTGGTTTTTTTTGTGTTATTACAAGATCCTTAGGGATCTATACCCCTTTGGTGGTTCTTTTATTTTCTATTTCTGTCTTTTCAATGAAGTTTCAGTTTTGTTTAATCCCCAAGGGCGTTTCATATGTATACCTCACCACTGCATGCACTCACATTAGCGAGTAAACAGTCTGCTGACCTCCAGTTCAGCACATATCTGCATTCAT